TATAAAAGCAATCTAAAGCAACTACTATAACCTATTCAAAAACATTGGAGGTTGGTTATTACAGCTGGTTACTTGTTTACTAGTGCTCTATCAGCCTTAAACACCAAGGTATTTTTGCCTATTTCTCCACCATCACTCAAGGCAGAGATTTAGAAAGAACGGAGACTAAAGATCAGAACTGAACTATGACTAAAATAGAAGCCTCAGCTTTTCCCCAGACTGACAGCTGTGATTAAAAGGGGCAGGCAGAGCTAATTCAGAAGCAGTCTCTGGGATGACCTTAATTTTATAATGTGCTGGCTCTCAAGGTAATTAAAAAAGACCAAGGCCTCAGTGAACATGATTGAATCTGGCACATCACAGATGTTTTCAGCATAACTACCTTTTTGACATCACTTTAATTGTACTATAAAACAACTTATGGGATTATAAAACTTTACTTTGGCACTATATGTGTCATTATTGTAGAATCCTAGTTAGCTACCTGGAACTTTTATATTTTTCTTTACTATACAGAAGCAGAGGACTCCAAGTAACTGTAACTATTCCTCAAGTGCAGGTAACAATGCTCACTTGTTGTACAAATAGCTATGAACAGAAACCCACCAGGGATAAGGCCTTGGCCTTATAGGCAGATGGGTCCCCCTCCAGCTGTGAAAAAGAATTCACTGGCTGCTCCACCAAGTTCTGTATTACAGCTTAAATCAGGGACCACGCAACTGCAGAAGTACAAACGGAGTTGGTCATCTGCAAGGTGGCTGTAGCTGAGACAATCAACCAATGAAGATTTCACGGTAGCTTTCGCTCTGGTGGAGCATGCTGTAATCACTGATGACAAGTTCACTTCAGCAATGTTATAGAACAGCCTGACACTGTCAGGCATCCGTCTCAACAGTTGAGGAGCAGAAATCATTGCACCTTTGGTCTTTGCGCTGCTGAGAAAAGGAGCTGCGGAAAACACGTAAATAGCATTGTCTCCTACAAACAGCAGAAACAAGTTCTTTGGATTTTAATGGGTTAAGTGACCCCTCTGAAGAACAGAGGCTTTAGAAAGGACGTGAGCCGCCTATGTGACTGGCTTCTGTGAAAGTTGGGTGCAACATTGGGCAGAAACTTGCCCTGTGTTCTCAGGAAAACCTCCTCCGGCAAGAAGGCTTGTAATGGGGTGGTCACAGGTGGCTTGTCATAGGGCAACTGCATTAAGCAAAGAGCTACTTAAACCAAAGGAACAACGGCAGGTGGAGGAATGCTGGTAACCTATTCAGTGGGAACCAAGAACACTGAAATGGCTGCCTCTAAGTCCAGGAAAAAAAAATGATTGCATTATTGTCCCTACTGTGAAACCCTTAATGAATGAACTCTTCATGAAAAGCTATGTAAAGGGAGTTATTGCCTACAGGAGAAAAATCCTTAATAGCATGCAGGAGGAAGAACATTTTCAAATAGAGAGTTTAGAATGGGGTAACTATGGGATGCTATGGGATGTTGGGGGAAGAACCAAAGGTGTAGAAAGAGAGAGATCAAGCAGGATCTAAGGGACAAACAAGAAAGCAGAGGATAAAAGAGGATAAAAAGGGTTGGCTGGCAGATGGATGGTCACACAGCCTGAGCTCTCTGTTTGATTCCTGCAGTCTATCTTAAATTCTTATTAAATCCTAACTATCTCGTGTGGGAGATGTATACTCACACGTTGTGTGAGTATATATCACACTAACAAACAGACTACAGCTCTGAGCAGCCAGAGAGGGGGATCAGGACTGGGCCATCCCACGTAGGGATGTTCATGTTTATGTAGGTGCCACCAAAGGCATGCTCCTGTGCACTGATCTAGGTGGATGGCACGCGTGTAGTGTTTGCAGTCCATGCACATATTGGGAATACGTGTTCACCCTCTCTATTGCCTGACCCTGAGGACAGGGGACCACAGCAGCCTGACTCTTGCAGATGAAGGTCTTTGCCACAACAAACCGGCTGTAGCAGGCAAGGAAGGAGAACTCCTTCTATGCCCTGAAGCCCACCAGGTCCAGAAGGCTTTTACAGCCTCCACAACTACACTCCCAGATTAGTCATGATTCTATCCAAAAGAGGGTACATGTGGGCATGCCTCAGGTGCAGCCTGGCTGGAGAGGTGAGGGGCCGATAAATGCGCTATCCAAAAATGTGTGTCTTCTCAGGCCACGAAAGACAGTGCTCCTGTTTTGTCTGAATTTGTACTTGTTAGCATTGCACACTGCAGTTCTCAATAGAGGGTATATTACTTCAGAGATAAATTGGTAGCTTGGAACAGAATGCAAATTTATATCAAGCAAATTAACACCAGAGCTCATAAAAAATATATTGCTGTAAAAAAGTCTCACTAGTCAGGGAGAAGAGATGCTTTAAAAATACTGATTCACAACTCTAGACTTATTTTTGTGTTATGTAATTCATTCAAATCTGATTGACAGGGCTTTTGATGTGCATAACGCAAATGCAAATAAATGCATACTGCAAATAAAATCACTTTCTTCAATTAGTCAAATGGTACTTTTATGCAATTAGCATGTAAGGATTAGTATCACAAATATGATTAAATTATGATTAGCAAAATCTTTTTAGCCTGACTGTCTTCTATATGTCTCTTTCTAGATTTCCATAATAATTCTTATCCATATGCCCACAAAATCTGCTACTTCAGCTTCAAAACTTTCTCCCTGTCTTATCCAATTTAGTCCTAGCAAACCTGTATTTCAATAGGAAAAGAAAATCATATTATGAATGGGCAATGAAAAGGATAAAGTAAACCTACATAAAAAGTTGAGCGGTAGGAGCCATAAAAAAAAAAGTGGAATTAATGTCTGTTGCAGAATATACCCGTTCACTGACAAATGTACCCATATACTGATAATATGTTTTTATATACATATATGTATTTATAATTCACATATATATTTAAGTCAAGATATATTCATTTTATTGTTAATTACTGCTGGCTATTTTTAAACAGGTCCCTCCTTAGTGGTGTTTGTTTAGGGAGAATATTTTCTGACTATATCCAAAACTTCTTGTCAAATCTAAAAGAGCTAAGACACCTGACCAGCTTTCTAAATAGCCTTGACAAATTAGTCTCTAATTTTCAGATGTAGATGTTACCTAACCCTAGGGGTCTACTTAGCACGTATTTGGAAGGACTTAGACACCTAACTTCATTTTAGATGTTTAAATCACATATTCAGATTCCAAGGCAACCCTCAAAATTCCTCTCAGATACTGCATAATTTCACAGATAAGTAGAATCTACAAGATATCTAACTAAGTACTGATATCACCAAGACCAGATCATGGCCCAGTAAAATTATTCCTGAGGACTTTACCACTCCAAGAATCTTCCTCAGCTGAAGATTTCCAGGAGGTGCAGGGGAGGTAGGTACTTAAAAGTGCAACTTAGATGTTTGGCAGGCCCTTGTTAAAATTGAAACCTTGTTTTTAAGTCCTAAAGCCTTAATGAATTTTGTGAAGGCAAGCTAGTTATTCAAATATAGGAATTCCAGGAAGCGAATTCAAAACTAAGCCAAATTATTTTAAATGACTACATTTAAAATGGGGGGTGGGGGAGGGGGCTAAGTTTTGAGGTGTAGGCTTCATTATTACAGTCCTTCCCTACTATTTGGAAATAAAAGCAAACACCTCTTTCTCTCTTTCTAGTCGAGCCTTGAATGCAATCTATTACATTGGAAAGGACTCTGTATGTTTCCTTTAAATTATGGAATGAAAAGACAGTTACTGACCATGGTAATACCAGGGTATTGCTCTGTCTCCACTACTTAGGTATAAAAAGATATGTTCCAACACACTTGTCACTTCATTTCCAATGAAGCAATCTCTTTTGAAATTCAGCATTTGGACTAGAATGTGTAATTCAGAAGGCTGTTTGTGTCAGCACTATTTGTAATACGGCTCTCAACCTGAATGGAGAGATTGTGGCCTCAGTTCACATGACATGAGTTGAAAAGTTATGAGCATTAACAGTTTTACAGTTATCTGTAAGTTGGTTCTCAATTGCCTTAATTTGGAAAGGAAGTGTATTTTCAAAAAAAAATAGAAATATATACGATTTATAGTTGCACTCAAAAAGTTTGTATTGAAGTGCCTTTTAGTAGGTAACTACAAAACTACAATTAATTGGTAAACTCTTCCCAGCTTCTTCACAACAGAATTTTGCTTATACTGGCATTTAGGATTACTTAAAATAACCCTCCTCCAGTGAGAGCTTTATCAGTTGATCTTCTCTATGACTTTGCACCTGCAGAGGTATGCATTTACTTCTTCATCCTATCCTCTAGGAAGCCCTCTGAAAAATCATTTTTCTGTCTTTCACTGGTTGTGGTTGTGAAGACAACAAAAGTAATATAGGAACAAGACTTTCTGAAACTGTTCTGGGACAGTTTCATATGCAGTCTGCTAGTTCAGCACACATTGCTCAGCTTTCCTAAGATATTCTACTTTTTTTCCTATAGTTAGGCTAACCTGGTTTATAAAGCAGGTAGTTAGTAGGTCTGGATTTCAAACAGACATTAAATAAGTCATAAACATCACTGTCAATATGGCCATGCAGGAACTTTCTTGACTTTAAAGTAGCTGATATCAGAACTTTTGGTAAAATCTCTACATCCCATTATTTTCCTGAAACTGAAAAGAATTTTAGCTGATACACTTGAGCCCTACGAAAGGGTAGCAGCACTCTAGATCAAACACATTCTTATAGTTTATATGGTGATTAAACAGGAAAATCACCAAGTACTGATGCATACAGGGGAACTTTGCAGGCCCTTTCTGTTAATCAATATACTTTCCTTCAAATGATACCACTTTTCAAGAATAGATGAAAAATTTATACCAACATTAATTTGATGTCATTTGAAATCACATAACTGTTTTAAGATAAAGTTTAAATAAGAACTAAATAAATGACTTTTATCTCATCAAAACTTATTGGATACATTTTATGTAGAATTTCTTACCTAAGCTGTTTAAAAGCCTCTGCCTTCACAAGTGGTGTTTCTACAGAGTGTTCAAAAAGTGCTCCTTCGGGCCCTGAAAAACAAGAAAAATAAGATATTGTAAAGATTCAAATGTCGGGAAAAAAAAGCTACATTGTTTTGCATGGCCATTCTGATGCTAGAAATTAAAATAGGAAAACCTAGACTGAGAGTTAAGGAGCAGTGTCCCTGTAACACGAGAGCAAGACAGTAGCTGAAATTCTAGCAAAGCCTGGCAGCAGCCCCAGCCCACAGGTGTTCTCAGAACATAACTGATACAGAGAAATCACCGAGAGCCCTCAAAAAAGCTGCTAAAAACCAGCAACTACCCTAGGACTGGAGTCTATATCATGGATATAACACACAACCAAAATCTGGGAGGCCTAAGTTTATTTAATGCTTGCTTTTCTCAGTCTTGTAGGGCTCACATATGTAATCGCTTTTCATATAGGAGTGCAGCAAGGCAAGACAATATAATTTAATATGATATTATAAATGGTTGCTTTTTGGTGGCTGCTCTTTAAATTAAAACAGACAATTACCCTCAGGAAGGAATTCTACACAGATATATCTTTCCATAGTCATCTCCTTTTAAATTAGGCACCTATGCTCTAGAAAGATTAGAATTACCACATTTTGGAGCTTAGTGTTTTATATTGGCTTAGGTTAGCTTCTTTTTTTGCTGTGTGTTTGGATTGATAGACAGAGGTAGTTATCTCTCAGTATGTACTATATAGACAACCTAAACACACTAATTAGGGTTTTGGATTAGGGGATTAGTGATAATTAGGGATTAGGGTCTGGATCAATCAAACTGTGAAGGCCATTTTCAACATTTTACCAGATACAGCCCTACACTGTCATGCATTTCCATTTCAGAAATTCTGTAGCAGGTAAGAAAGTATGAGTTTGCCAATAGCTGCATGCTACTGAATATACTCCCATGCACACACACGCTTGCTTTAATATTAGAGTCTGTGTGTAATTTGTAGCCATTACATTTTAAATGTAAATATACATGCAAGCAAGAGAGAAAAAAATCTTGCATTTTTTATGGGAGACCTGATCATATTGGGATGAGGAAATGAAGGTACTTGCGGAATCAGACAGCCAGAAAAAGAGATACAGAGAAATGTATGATTAATGAATGATGTGGAATAAAAGCAAAAAGACAAGGAAAATCGTGGGGAAAGCACAGAGAGTATCAAAGGTAAAAGAAAAAAAAAAGGAATCAGATGATATTAAAAAGGAATACTTTAGTGGCTTTCCTGACAAATGCACTGCTGAGCTAACTGATGTGAAGTCAGGTAGCCTGGAGGGATGTTCTCAACATAGAATCATAGAATCATAGAATCATAAAATGCTTAGGGTTGGAAGGGACCTCTAGAGATCATCTAGTCCAACCCCCCTGCATACGCAGGGACACCTAGAGCACGTGGCACAGGACTGCATCCAAGCGGGCCTTGAAGATCTCCAGAGACCTGATCATATTGGGATGAGGAAATGAAGGTACTTGCAGAATCAGACAGCCAGAAAAAAAGATACAGAGAAATGTATGATTAATGAATGATGTGGAATAAAAGGAAAAAGACAAGGAAAATCATGGGGAAAGCACACAGAGTATGAAAGGTAAAAGAAAAAAAAAAGAAATCAGATGATATTAAAAAGGAATATTTTAGTGGCTTTCCTGGCAAATGCACTGCTGAGCTAAGCAGTGAAGTCAGGTAGCCCGGAGGGATGTTCTCAACATGCTCTAAGAAGGCACTAAAGGAGGCACTTTTTGAGAAAGACTATAGCTAAAAATCCCTTAGAATGAAGTCTATTTAGCTTAGGTGGAATGGTAATAAACAAGATATAAGAATCACCATACAAAACTGCTTTACCACTTCACTAAGCTACTTCTCTAAGCTACCTTTTAAGCTTCCCTTTAAATTTCATATAGCTGTTGTTTTCCTCATCATCTCTTTAAATAGATGATTCTTTCTGGATTCTGCTAACTAATCAGAGAGGATTTTAACTCTTCTTCTTTAACGCTAAGATTATTTTGCAAGATAAAACCTGCTCTTGCTATTGTCCCGGCTAGTGACACATGGTGGCAACCTTACACATCAGATATAATGAAAAAACTCAAGGAATTAAAGACGTTTGTCCGAAACTGCTGGTAGAGCTGAGATATTTTACAGGAACATGCTGATCTGTCAAAACTTCTGACTTTTACTTTGCTTGCCAACTAGAAATGGCAGAGTTCAATTATTTTTGTGATGAGGGGAGATGGTTTCATATGTGATTTTTCTGATAGTGTGGTGGTTGGGGAATATGTTGTGATCCCTCGTTATCCTTCATTCCCACTAGTAAAGTAAATATTTTGTTATTTTCCTCAGCTAGATTTTCAGCTTATTCCTTTATAGGGAATGAATTATGAGTTCAGTGAGATACATGCTGCTAAATTGTTAGTTGTACAAATAAAAGATCAGTAAATTTAAGTAATCTTGAGATGCATGATTTATCAGGGAAGATCAGGTCTTCTGCCTGTTATCCCAGGAAGTCTTTAAGTATGTTTATATTAGGAAGTTAAAATAAAAATGAATCAATAGAGTGGTAAAATTGATTCTAAAGCTTTGGCATTCATATTATACAGATTTTGGGTAGTTGCTTTGCACCACTGTAGCCTGGTCTGTGGACTTAATATGCATTTGCAATCTTGATGCACTAAATGAACTCTTGGAGCACATTTTTCAGTTTATTTCATCTAAAAGGAATCTACTTTAGGCACCTCCTAACTCCTCCAGGATGTAAACCAGTGGAAAGTAAGAATCATCAAAACTGTCAGATCTGCAGCCTGCAAAAGTACAGTCTTGATTTAATCGAATGCTAAGGCAGATGCACATTTTAGTGCAGATGTTATTATGTACATGCATGCCAAATATTTTCTATGGAGTGCTCTTCTAATTGAGCGTGGTCTGGAGTCCATTTCTTTTTTCTTTGTACAGTTTAAGTTATCATCAATGTACTCCAAAGTCTCCTGGATTGCTCATGCCCACCTTTGTTTCCATTCTTGGAGATACCAGGATGGTTAAAGTCCTCCATGAAGTCCAGAGCCTGTGAACCTGAGGCTTTTTCCAGTTGCTTGAGTCCTGTACCTTCTACTCATCTCACCTTCTACTCATCCTCATCTGTTTCTTCCTCCCCAGGTGCTCTGTAGACCCACCACAATCTAGCTCATGAGCTTTCAACTTACTCGTCATCTGTCCTGAGGCAAAGCACCATGCGGTGCTGCTGTTCTCTCAAATAAAGGGCAATAAATGCTCTCATCTTCCCAGCCCGTCCTCCTGCAGGGCTCCTATTCCAGTGAATTATTTTGAGTGGCGTGTAAAATACCTTATGCAGTTGCATGTTATAGTGTGTCATTACTTTAAGCGCAATTCTCAAATTAAAAGCACAAAGATAACTAGTATATATTCGAGTAGCAGAAATAATATTAATGGATATCCACATTATCATGAAAAAACATATCTGGCGAGCATGTTTTTCTGTATACAAAATCAAATATTTTGAATAATCAGATTAATAAAGAGTAAATGAAACCTCCTAGTTTAATCACATAGAAACAGTCTGTTATCACCTTACAAAATAATAAATAACAATTTCAGAAGGAAAAGTCATCAGTCTCCATAACTCAGTTGGAAAGTTTTATTTCCAACTTACCAGCATGGATGAACTCTGAAAATTTCTGCTCTGTGCTCTTTTTACTCTCCCTGATTTACGTCTAATTTCTCTGGTATCTTCAAAAATCTATATCACATCGACAATACACTATCACCCATTAATAGATTCAAAAATGATTAAAAATAGAATTAAAGATTATAAGTATGGATATTTATATCAATAGTTTAAGGGGAAAATATATGAGAAATTCAGTTGCACTCTCTCTCATATATTCCCTTTCCTATACCTTAGCTGAAAGTAGTGTAGAAGAGCACAAAAGATAAGCACAAAATGCTGTTTCTCTAACAGATGTATTAAACGTCACCTTCTATACTTCTTGCATCTAGTTTGTGTACAATATAGCATGAGGTGTTCCATTATTAAATACATTTATATCTTTGAATTGTAAATGAGACGGCAAGACCGGTTGATAAAGGTAATATATGAGTGTAATAAGCTTCCATAGGCATTTAATTTGATGCTACATGACATTTTGATTACGAGATCAGAGCAATGCAGATCAACTTGGAATGCATTAAGTGGATTAAAATTGGCTGATAGCTCTTAAAACGTAATTGTAAACAAAGAACCATGAGTGAGGAGATGTGCTATTTGTGGGCCTTATGTGATGTAACACTCTATCAGGGACTTGGAAGAAATAAAATAATTAGTGATGAAGTTTCAGGTGACACAGGCACTGGGAAAGAGATGATAGAAATGGAAAGGACAAGTCAGTAATGAAGGAATATACGAATTATTTTGCAAATGTGACTTTATAGGTCACCTAGGCTTAGAATTATCTCTCTATACATGTGCTCCCTACTCAATTTTTTAAACCCTGACTAAATTATCTAGTAATATTTTCTGATGCTGAATAGCTTTTTTTTTTTTGACAGCACTCCTAAACTTCATTATCTAGAAATCTTTTATTTTATAATTAAGATTCAGATTGCCCTCTCGAGCCTTGAGATCACTTTTAAAGCCATCCTCAAAGCTAGATCTGCCATCTGCTCAAGGGTGGAGGACATCTAGTGCACCTAGGATCCTGCATGCCTCAAGTGCCCTCTTCACGTCTCCTTATGGGATGTGCAGACACAGGTAAGGGAGTGCCCACAGAAGAGTAGGGAATTCTTCTGTCTCACAGACTTTCTTAAATTCACTCTGGGACCAGTTTGTGCCTTTTATATTTCTCCTACAGTGCTTCTCACACATTTTGCTATGTAGACCAGTGTTTATTTGCACTTAAGATGTAGCTCGATAAGATTAAAAAAGAAATTGCACAACCTACTTCTCAGATTATAAAAAAAATCAAACATTGCCAACTTTGAACAGTATTATACTAAAAAAAAAAGAACAAAAAGACAATGGGGCAATGTTTGCTGGAAAATGGCACTAAATTGATTTCTTGTCTTCATTAAATATCATTTCTTATAAAAAATAGCATAAAATGATATGATTTTTACCATGTGTACCATATTTACTATTTCTATAGCATCTTATTTATAAGCAAAAATAATGATGTGATTCTGCAATTAACTCTAAAATATAGAAAAGCAACATAATATTTTTAATGACAGAATTGAAGTCAGCAAGTTTCATTAATCCTCTCTTCCAGCTATCAAAGTCTATCTGCCTCTTAGAAGTCTAGCAAAATTAAATATCCTAAAATTGTCAAAATTGTCTCATACTTAGCTTCTGAGCAGAGTATTTAAATTAAGCACATATTTTCCCATAGCACTTCAGTGTTAGCTCTTCAAACTGAAGACCTTTACACAGAACAGAGCATGAGAAAATCACCTGCAATACTTGGCAAATCCTTCAAGATACTGAAAGGCAAGCAAAAAGGCAAATAGTAAATGGGGGAAAGGTGCTATATTTCTCCATAAAGATATTTATCATTTCAGCATTGCCAACTTTTCTTTGAGATTAGAGTAAGCAAATGCATTCTATTCATTTCTTGTGCTCCATTATACTTATCATCAAAACATTAGCATTTACTACAGTCAAGGTATATATATTATTTCTACTTGTTAAAAATGTTCTTTGTGCAGTAGCTATGATTACTTTATAACTATTTAATATTAATTATTTTTCTCTTGTATGTAACTCCATTTACTTGAGCTTTTTTTTTCTCTTTTCTGTGGATATCTGTCTAGTTTGCAAGCTTGCAGAGCAGGCAAGGAAGTGGAAAAGCAGGATTCCTATGGCTATGAGCTCTAGCCAAGTGCAAGGAATTCCAATTGGTGCTGGAATTTCACTCCTCTTGCCATGACAATGTTGTTGCAATCAGGTCTGACAAATGCTTGTTACAAGGAAGGTTTCACTGTCAGTACTGCCAGCTGAATGTGTAAAATGCTACCAGATCAAAACATGATATTCAGTGCCTCCTTAGCAGCAGAATAAATATCTGCAAAAGACACAGGTCAGCAGTGCAGTTAGATTACAGAGGGTGTAACTGAAATGCATGCTCCTCCAGGTATCATTAATTAAGGATGGAATTCTGCTTCAGACACCTAAGTACGCCTTGCTTACAACGCAAGTGTCAGCATGTGAGCTGGAGGCAGGTACATAAGCATCTGTGTCCAGTGGTGTCATTCAAAATACCCTCACATGCCCTGCCTGGCCTCCAGCTGCCACCGACACAGGAAGGGAGCCTCTTTTTGCCATACTGTGACACATCCCAAGAGTGGGAGCTTAGACACCTCACTTACATGTAGATGTCTACACTAAAAACTCTTGAATTTCTTACATTTCTTACATTATAAAGGCTGATCATGGGTTTTGCAAAATTCTCTTAGGAGAATGGACGGTCTGTCACAATCCTATCGCAATAAATACCTACCGCATGCGCCAAAAACTTTTTTAATAGTAGGAGGTCAAATGTACCAGATCTGTTGGGAAATAACAGTTTTGGTTTAACTTGCTCTTAAACTTACATTTTTTTTCTGAAATACTATAAAGCACAATGTCATTTGCTCTCTGTTATACAATATTTTAGTTGCAAAATTATCCATTTTTCTTAAAAATCATTACTGAACCTTTCCTAGTTCACATAAATAATGAGAAGTAAAATCAAATAGCTTATTACATTGTACATAAAATACTGAGAAGTATTGAACTATCTTGAGTCCATCTCTTAGTGTATGCCCTTTTCAAAACTTGCTTCACATTGATCTTACTATCTAAAATATTTTTTAAAAATAGTTAACTCAGTACTCAAAGTATTACTAATTTATCCTTCATGACAATAGCATCATTTAAACCACAATTTTAATAAATTCATTTGAAGCACAAGAGAATGACTGTCCTCTCACTTGCATTAATTTAATATTGGAATAATTTCACTGACTTTAATGGATTTGCTTTTGACTTGCACTACAGTGTATAAAAAAACAGGCAATGTGCCTTTCCAAAAGAACTACTAAAGTAAATAATTATCTTTGCGATGCAAAGACAAACATTGGAGAAGCCAGAATACATATTTTAACATAACAATTTCAACTCATGTATGAATGATTTTACTTACTTTGAGGAGAGAAACCTTTTCCAAATCAGTTAAAAAATCACACAGTTTTTCATATCTTTGTTAAACATGTTTTTCTATTAAAGCAATTCCTTGGGCAAACAATAGTCATTTAATATGCTTTCCTGCTTAAACAAAGTTGTAATTTCAATTAGGTTAAAAAGTAAAAAAACCTAAGATAAGACCCTCAGGGGTAAACATGATTTATTAACACATTTATTTTAACTTAAATTTGGCTTTGAAGTGCTAATTGTATGCTTACTGCCACATTTATATTTGTTCACAGTGAAATAATATGAATTGATCCATGAAAATCAGGACCTCAAGTTTCAGAGCACCAGTAATTAGCAAAAGTTAAATATGATAGTCATAATTAGGTTAAAATTTTTGAAAAAGAAACTGAAATTACAGGATAAATTCAGTGTTTCCTCTGATGAATTGTTCCAGTTTAAGTGAAACCACACCTTGACATATCCATTTTAACACAATCTTACATCTGGAAAAGTTAGACTTTATCAGGTCATATGAAAGTAAATGGCTTTTCATATGATAACTTTGACAAGGGCATCCTACTTTACTCTGTAAATGGGTACTTTGGTGATTTGTAGAAATAGTTTAATACAAACTTGTCTTTTGACAGATGACATTTTAAAAACACAATAAATAATATTTTGTGACGTGTTACAGGCAAAGGAGAAGTGGCTTTCACTTTGAAGTTAAAGCCATGAATTCTTATATCAGAAAGACTTCACTCTTAAAACTCAATACAGCTGACTTCTCATACAAGAATATGTAAAATTTAGTCACAATTAACAGTGTACACTGGAAATGCTAAAAAAATTGGAAAAAAATTCACAAGTACAACTGTCATCATAAGTCTCTGTTTTCTAATAAAAATAGGCAGCAGACACATGCATTAACATGCACACATGCATTAAAAGATATACATAAATTGATTCTTGTTGTTGAATATTTAGTGAGAAGATCAGAAGATTTTCAGATTTCTATTTTCTAATGGGGTAAAGCCAGAAGTTGCATTCCCACACAGTGGCTTATTTAAAATACCATGTTAGTTGTGGTTATTCCTGTGGTTATTAGTCAAATATTTCTTAAAATTGTGTTACAAACCTGTGACTCGAAGCTTATCTGTGCCAATTACAACCTCATTTTCATCCACAGTAAAAAGTGGCTTGCCATCCTTGGAGTTGATCTGAAATTGCTGACCATGAAATTCTACCATTTTAGGACCTGCAAAGTACAGAAGAATAAAGGAATAATTACATAAGTTCTTCCAACTCTCTTCACAAATTGTCAAACATTCAAATTGTGGCCTTAATAATTTAGTGACTCATTTAAGCACATTAAGATCAAAAAACACTCAGATATTCCAAGAATAGAGATCTTGTAAGTACTGAATTTGGGCAAATCTATTTACAAGATCTAATTTGTTGTTTAAAACTGTGCCTGGAGTCATGCTTTCAAGTTGGGTTTCCAGGGAATGTAGGAAATCCTTTACAAATTGATGAAGACAAACATGCGTGTTCTTGTTGTCAAACAGCTAAAATTCTTTGATCTGTATAACATCTTTTAATTTTGTAAACATGAAGATAAATTAACAAGGTCTTTTTAGCATCACCCCTTATGATTAGGGAGACTCAGCTGCTTTGAAATGACAGGCTTACATGGAAGGGCAGGACCCTCCGCTCTTCATAACAAATGCAAGTTTAGCTCCACATATCTGGCAAATATTTCTGATCATGTTGTTCTTCGAAGATATTGAAAAAGCTGAGATTTTTAGCTTGTACCTGGTACTTCAAGGCAGAAAACGTATCTAGCAAATGGTAGCTGACAATCTAGGCTTCCTGGTTATCACTATGTAAGAGGTTGGCTTCTGTTAAGCTTGAAAAGGGTCTGCTTTCCTTTTTCTGCAATATGCAACTACTATTTCTAACATACTAGTAGATCGTATATTCACTAAAAATTATGTTCTATAGTATTGGCTTGGTGAGTGAATGTAAATCAAGCTAAATTTGAATGTCTGCTTGATAGAATTGTTATCTAATTCTATGTTCAGAACTAGAATTATAAGAGAATAGCCAAAGCACTTGATATTCCTTTTCAGCAGTTCTTTAATAAAGGTAATTCATGGATCATCCATAGAACAGCCCTGAGTTACTTTGCAGCCCAGTAAAAATGTTTTTTTCACATGCCTACTCTTATTAATGTTAAATATCTTCCAGGGAGCCATTCTCAAATGAGATAGGAATAACTGGGGAGGATCTCAGGTGAAAATGCCACTACGTGACTGATGAATGACACTGCAAAGAAATACACTCAGATATTTGCCAAAATCTCTATGGTAGCAGATGCATGAGATGCACACCATGTTTTATACAGATCGCATATTGTTCCACTTAGCAGATGCAGACCATTGCTTTTAATCTTCCACCAAGTCTGCAGTGTTATTCAGGCTATGATGCTGTGCTCAGCCAGGGAAGCAACACTAAGGCACCGTGACAGCCACTGATTCCTCTTGGCAGTGGTCAGGATAAGGGGACAAACTCCACAGTGGATTGCCTCTGTCAGACATCTGTGCTCACACACTGTCTTACTGTCTGAGCTGGTCTCGTTAAAGCTCCTCCAGAGTACTTTGGCTTCATTTCTGGAAGTGTATCACTAAAAGCGACCTCAGAAAATAACTTGATTTAGTTAAAATTTGTTAATCAGAGTCTTTTTAACAACAAGGAAAGCAATTCAATGCAAGTAAAACAGTTATGGTTTCCTATCATTGTCTTTCTTGGAAGTCATGGTGAAGGGTGTTTTATTATTCCTGTTCAGAAGTAGTAATGAAACTGCCAATTTAAGCAGTGTAAGTAAATCCTTGTTTATTCAAACAACCTAAAGTCCTGAATAAACCATCTATTATCAACTTTAACCTGTATTGCAAGTGCTATTTCCTCTCCTTCCTATTCATCCAACATCATGAGCAGAGCACTCAGCTAGAGTGTGGGAAACTTAACTCCAAGCCTCTCCTCTTTTCAAGGATATAGGTCAGGTGATTTAGGAGCACTAAGGCTACAACATTTCGGCAAGAATGGAGGAAGGAGTCATTTGCAGTCTCTTTGTTGAAGATGTTTCACACTCTGTAGAGAAGGCAGTGGCATCTGTAGCATTTATTTCCTCCACAAGCATGGCACCCAGGTTAACATCCTGGCTGCAGAACTACTGGATAAATTGGATTGACACCAATTCTTCCAGTGTTGCTTTTTGTAGAGGGTACTTTCTAAAAAAAAAACACACAATTAAAATATCTGCTGGATTAGACCCAACAGATGAGATAGAAATTGGAATGATTAATCTGAAGAGTTTGACAAGGTTAGATACTTTTCTTTTTAGTGCAGTCAGTATTTTAGGAGGTCTGGCAGGCTGAAAGCAAGTATTTTTATGCAGGCACAGAATATTTATTGATGAAAAGAATTAACAGATAAGTTAGGATCCTGAAGACTTACATTTGGACATGTGTACTTAAAGCAGGTCTTAGCTGTGAGGTTTTATAGTGTAGGTAATCTTTAAAAAACTAATTAAAAACTGACATAAGTACTTGATCTACTACCTAAGTTTGAAAATAATGTGTAGCAATATCTCCAAGAGACAGTAACTCAGAAATTTATGTCTCATTGGTAGTTATTTACTCATGATCACAGAAGCTCTAACTTTTCAAGTTTAGGTTGAACATAAACATACTAAGTAGCAGTTACATATCTTGTACCAAATTCTGTTTTGCATCACCTTACCAAATAGAGCAGGCCTAGACAAGTCTCTAGTGTAGCCAGCAGGACCAAGGAAGTGATCGTCCCCCTGTACTCGGCACTGGTGAGGCTGCAGCTTGAATACTGTGTTCAGTTTGGGACCTCTCACCACAAGGACATTGAGGTGCTGGAGCGGGTCCAAAGAAGGCAGCCAAGCTGGTGAAGGGGCTGGAGCACAGACCTTACGAGGAGCGGCTGAGGGAGCCGGGGTTATTTAGTCTGGAGGAGACTCAGGGGAGACCTTGTGGCTCTCTACAACTACCTGAAAGGAAGTTGTAGCGAGGCAGGGGTCAGTCTCTTCTCCAGAATAACTACCAAAAATAGGACAAAAGGAAACAGTTTCAAGCTATGCCAGGGGAGGTTCAGGTGAGATATTAGGAAAGAGTAATCAAACACCAGAACAGGCTGCCCAAGGAAGTAGTGGAGTCACTGTCCCTGGCAGAGTTCAAGAAATGTGTAGATGAGGCACTTAGGGACATGGTTTACCTGGCATGGTGTTTAGGGGTTTACAATTGGACTTGATGATCTTGAAGGTCTTTTCCAACCATAATGGTTCTGTGATTCTATGATTCTCTTTAGATAGAAGAGGAACAAGAGGATTAACCTCCTCATCCCAGAGAAGTATATCCCAGAAAAGTGAGGTGTTTAGAAAATCACCTCCAGCTCTATTCCTCTAAGTAACTGTATGTTTTGCAGGGGGAGATTATGTACATACCCTCTGGTTGTGGATAATGGCTCAGGCCTTAAAGATGAGAGAGGAGAACTAAGTTCTGAAGAAGCTAGTGAGTATAACCACTGTCCCCTACCAAAGCAGGGGAGCCTTGAGCACTTCCCATTCTGCTTGTTTGGTGGAGTTTCGATTCCCAAACTGGGATCTATGAGAAAAGGCCAGGATGGGGGATGCTCCTTGCAGACAGGACAGGTGATGCTGCCCAGCTCCGGAGCAGAGGAGAGTTTAAATGTGTCATGAGAGTTATGCTGTACCACATGTCCCTAGGGCCAGATTGTGGGTCCTGGCCTGTTCTACTTACTAGTGCAGACATAGTCTATGTCTAGCTGTTAAGTGCCTTTACATATTAAATATTACTGGGCAAGGGCTGAGTGACCACTAAGGTCTCTAAGGATTTTAATTACTTAAGAAGGCTTAGTGCCTATGGCCCTAAACTTTCTTACTGAGCAGGAATTATGAGAATCTAACTTTAGGATTTAAGCACCTGAAGCAGCACTTAGGTAGGATTAAAGATGAGTGCATTGCAAAAAAAAGATGAGTGCATTGCAAAAAGCCCATTACATTTTAAAACCAGATTAAAAATAATAATAAATCTACTAGTCCTGTGAGCAGTCACTGCAGGTTATATACTTCCCAAAGGAGTCTTAACTGATGGCTGTTTAAAACTACTCCTCATGCCCCTGCCCATGGTAAATTTGCTTCCAGATTTCTCTCCTATTTGCTTCTAGGCCCTGCATATTTGACTACATTTTTCACAGGAATCCACAATCTTGTCAAAACGAATGCCCTATAGATAATCCTCATTATAGAAGAATGATCTTGCTAATAAAATATGTATTTTAAAAGTTTAGAAGGAATATTGGGTAAATAAAATTGAAAAACCTTATGCATGCTAGCGATATGTTGGTAGATATGGAACAAATTTTAAAAAATAAAAACTAGACTTTTAAAGAAGTTGAAAAACATTCTTGTAATTAAAAAGAGCAATTAATACCTCATAGTCGGATTTTACAATACACATGCATTATGTGAATTGCAATAGCCCTAATTGTATTGTGTTCCTATAAGATTCAATTTTAGCTCATGAACAGCAGCTAAATATAAGCGAAACTTTAATCTCCTGCTTACTGTATGCATTTTGTTTATCATCCTGCTATATTACTGTACATATGTCTGCTAATATGAAACATGAAATTATACTTTCTGATAAAATCATACAATTAAAAATGTAATGCAACAGATTTTGGAAAGCATTCGAACAGTTTTCCCACTGCTGCTGATAGGTCTCTTGAGAATTTCCAGGTAGATCAGCTCTCCTTGCTACCAGGCTGAGTAATAATTGCCTCTTGTTTTGTTAAACTTTCTACTTCAAGCCATGTTGCTGGTACAGACCTCATTCATGAGCATCACGTCACATACCTCTTGGCACTGGTGATGCCACAGTTTAGGTGATGAAAAATGGTTCCAAAAGCAAATGACACACCGCCCTTTCATAACCTTATGTCTCCTTAGGCAGGCAAATTCCTGTTCTTTTCCTCTTGTGTTGCCATAAATTCCTGCAAATGAGTGCATTGCTAAGGAGCCCTACTTTTTGCTTCTCGCCTCACTCACCACTGCCCTAGGTAGTTTTCCTGAGTACAGAAGACCTTTCATTTAGGGATTCCATTTCAGTGAGAAAACATTTAAATCAATTCTCTTCTACTTTTCTT